AGTAGTTCTTTTCTTAAAATTTTCTAACTTACGAATAGAATCTATTTATAAGATGATTATTTGACAAAAAATTGGATTCTTCAAGTTTCTTTTTAATATAAAAGAGTAATATAGTAGCTCTATCCCAAACTATCTATGTGTACTTAGGGCGTACCAAAAGTTCGTGTCCCGCTATTTAAAGATCCTCATCGGATGGGTGAACCGATTCAGAAATAAGAAACAAACATATCATCTTGTAGAGCTTTTCGAGCCGCATCGAATGGTGTATAGTAAATTCTGTTTTCATAGAACTTTGAAGGACCTAGAGACAATTTACTGATGGACGACTACATAGTCACACCTATCCACACTCACGTCTACATTCACAAGATGACCGGAGATGGTACGTATATGAGGCTGTAGCCCGTCAAAACCTCTACAAAGTCGCATGCGAGAAACAATATTTTACAAATGCTTTCAATTAATAACAAGAACCACAATAATCATTAACTTATGGTCCTCCGGTATGGATGCCGATATGGATGGATGTGAATGTGTAGCCATCTATCAGCAAATTGACTCTAGGTTCTTCAAAGTTCTATGAAAACAGAATTTACTATACACCATTCGATGCGGCTCGAAAAGCTCTACAAGATGATATGTTTGTTTCTTATTTCTGAATCGGTTCACCCCATCCGACGAGGCCCTTTAAATAGCGAGACACGAACTTTTGGTACGCCCTAAGTTGCCAGCTCGAAATAATGTATCATTTGATTTGTCGTCGCATGGTTATGCAGAACAAAAAAAAAAAGAGTGACATACGCACTATTGTTTAGAATAGTATATAAGGAACATATTGATTAGGGGTGAACTAGGCAGGTGTGTTGTGGAAAATTGAGGTTGCAAGTGTGGTAGTTGAAAAATAAAGCATATTTTTATATGGAATCATAGTATGATGTTGTTTCGTATCTCATGTGTTAGTTTCCGTATTATTTTTGCTGGTAAAAAATGTGTCAGAAATGATGGCATTTAAATGATTCCTGTGAAATACATTTCGATAGAGGAACGGTGATGGAAATTGGAAAAGTTCCATTTGTGTTGATTGAAAACGGTTTAGGTTTTGTTTCTCAATGTTAGTGAATGATTTGCAAGACTTAAATTATGAAAAGTAGTATTCATGTCGTAAAAACTGTTCTAGTTGCTTGCTAGAGACTGTGGACTTTTAATGTCTGGAGAATAAGTTTTGGTTGTTTAAAAACAAGAGTAGTAGAATTGGCTAGATGAAATTAGTGTTATAGAACGAGTGCGCGGAAGTTCTGCATAGATTTTGTTTTTCATATAGCGCTACCGTAGAATGCCGTAGATATTAGAACCTGTTTTTGTTAGAAAGAACAAGGTGTTTAGTGTGAAAGTCGATATAAGGATTTGATGACAAATATTTTTCGTGGACCACAAAAATCTTAAGACAAAAAGGCTCAGAAAATCTAATCGCCACTTTTTAAAATTAGAAAAGGTTTGATCTAATTAGACGGATTATATTATTATTGGTCGAATCCAAGTTTTTTTAATCTAAGAATGGAGAATTATATCTGTGCAATCAAAGGAATTCTTTATATGTTTTTGTAATAGCAGAAGCGGACGGTTTTCTGGCATTGTCTGGTATCAACGTTTTTCATTACTGTTGATTTAAATTCAAAAAGATAAAATCTATTTCAAAAGATTGGTCGCGAGAAAATTTATATTTTATATGAAAAAGAAAGCTTGATACGTCTTCTACTGCACAATACCAGTTGGAATAGGAGACAGATTCTCTGTGAAATATATAGCCACACATTTGTTTTTCCAGCTATAAATGCCAGATTAACTAAATTGATTTATTTAACCGAATAGTCTTGTGTTTATTCTCTTGTTTACTAGACTAATTATTTAAAAATCGCATGAAAGCCTCCGTCGTAATAAACAACTATAAAGGGTGTTCCATAATAACTGACGATAAATTGTTATTCATATTTTTCATACTTTTTCTTGACATAGAGGCTGAAATTTTTATCACATATATATCTAATGAAGATCTTCTGTTTCTGAAAGTTTCAGGTCTCTAGCTACAACTACTGGTGAAATACATCAACAACATTTAAATATATAAATTTTTGAAATCGATTTTTCAATACTTTTTATTGTGAAAATGTTGCAGGATATTTCCATGAATAGTTAACCAAAAAATCACAAACTGTTCAGAAAATTTTTTTTCGTATCAGAATTTGTAGAGCTTTTCCCGCTGATCATTTTGGTAAAAAAACTTTTCCAATTTCATTGAGAAATGACGATGTTATAGGCAAAATACTAAACACTTTAAAATAGGTTAA